TTACTCAATGCATATTTTCACAGAAATCAAATCTGATATGTTGAATTGCTGTCAAACATTATAGTCGTGTTAAAACTAATGATTGAACTTCAGTATCAATAATTTTTACCAAAAATGTTAAAATTAATACCAGTTTATGGCTATTTTTAAATTGTTATTAAAGGGTGATGGTCATTCTGCAGCATGTGTTCTGATTACATGTAAACAAATAATGTATTTTACATCCCTTGTATAAGTCGTTATGACTCCTGTATCGATCAGAATTATTGTAATGACCATCGCCATTTAAAATATTATTTTTGATTTGATTCAAATTGAATATTTCTTTCATCTTTTTCGTTCTCATTTGTTCTGGTTGAAGTACACTTCTAATAAAGATTAAGCAGTAATGACCATAATTTCTACTTTGTCTTTTTTCCAGCAGTTTCTGATTTTTTGATGCTCATTGATGTTACTTAATAATTGTTCATAAAAAAATCATCAAATATCAAACTGGATACATATATTAGACATTACAGGTTTCTGATGCACATCATTTATTTTTCCGATCGGATTCAAAATGGCTGTTTGGCAGCCATTTTGTTTTAATGAATGGGCTTCTCGACTTGTATCTCTGACTTGTTTTGACTGATTATATTCAAATTTTAAATTTTCATTATACATCATATCATAGATAAACAGATTTATTGGTTTGACGATCCTAATCCAAATTTCCGAATGGCGGTAATTTTTATGCTAAAAAATCTTCAAATATCAAGCAGTTCTGGCATTTATGGATGGATTTCGTTCAAACTTGGTACATACATTAGACATTACGGGTTCCTGATGCACATTTTATTTTCCAGATTGGATTCAAAATGGCTGACTAGCGGCCATTTTGTTTTAATGATTGGGCTTCTACAGCCACATCTCTTAAATGCTTTGACTGATTATATTCAAATTTTATATATTCTTTATACATCATGTTATATATATATACATGTATTCAAAATGGTTGATTTTGAATGCTGTTCCAGAGCAATATCTCTCAATATGGACAAGTACTCATTTGACAATCAGATACAAATGTCAATCATTATAATGTTCAATAATCATATTCCTGACATGGTTATATTTCAGCTATATTACTATAAACAAAACTATATCTTAAATTTGATAACTAACTGAGACTGTGCCATGCATGGCTTGTTATTCTCTGTTTTTTTAGTTTGTTGTTTCCCTGCCAAGTTTGTGAACTTAAACCCAGAGAAATTGCTTAAGCATCAAAATAGTGAAATTAAATACAATAATGGCAAGCCATTATTAGTCACTGTTCGAACACAGTCCAAAAACATGAACTTATGAATTGACCTCTGTGCGTGTCCATACCTTTGGACCTATATCTTAGACATACTTGAACCGATTACATTTGTCGCATACGACTTATTTACCACTTCCGTGTCATTGAGAATGTTCTAGAACCGTACTGTGTCTGGGTGGAATATTCTAGATTTTTTTTAGAAACTGGTTGAATAGGTAATAGAACACTGTAGGAGGCAATAGAAGGTAAATTTGTAGTAAGTTCCAGACTCATTAAAATGTATGCTGATGTAATGGTCTATTTATAGACAGTGGGGG